GGGGGAAGGCAGCGCCGCCCCCATCGCTCCTCCTCTTACTCTTCGTAGCCCGGCCCACCCACCCCGTACGCGACTTCCTTTCCTTTTCTTTTTTTCATAGCTTCTGGTAGTTTCACAGCATTCAATTCTTATAATGAACATGTAGAAGTACAAGACTAGACAAACTTACAAATAGTTTCTCTCTGCTGTTGCACACACACACACACACACACACAAAGTTTAATCCAAATGTTTAATTTTCTTTCAGGGGTGAAATAACTTTGCCCTCAGAGAATCTGAAATCCCTTCTGAAGACTGCTAATGCCCTGCAAATATCTGATTTAACCAGATTAGATGTTTTGGGTATGACAGCTATTGACAGTGAAGATATAACATCCTGCAAGACAGAAGGAGTGCATTCTCAAAGAGCAAATTCCATTAATGAGCACAAGGAGGACATACCGAGTCAGCTATCTCTGCCTGTTATAGCAAGAAAAGATAAATTGCATGACAACCGGGCAGAATGTGCATTTCTACTGAGCAGTAGGAAAAGACCAAGAGAAGAGGCTTTCTCGGAGACGGAACTCTTGATGCCTGCAGAAACCCAAAGCAAGACCCCAAGACTAGCAGATGATAACTACTCAGCGACGCCAGATGAAACTTCAGTGTTGGCAGAGGTCAAGGTGGAAGATTTTGAAGAGTACGAGGAGCACGAAGTAATTAGTTTTCGTATGCCTTGTTGTTATTGCAACTGAAGTATCTTAATATGAGTGGTCGGTAGGTCTTTTATAATGTTGTATATATATATTCAACACTTCCCCCACGTTTTTTAAGACGCACAACCTTTCAAGTTCATCTGAACATTTATGCTATTTATTAACTAATTTCAATGATTTGCTTTTCTTATTTTTCATTTCCATTATTAGTTAACAGTGGCTCTTTACAGGGACTAGAGGACTACACAGCAGACGATTATAAGCACTGTGACAAGAGTCTTCTGCAGTCTGAACAGTTTCCAGGCAGCCACAGTGACACAGCATACTCCATTTCTATAAAAGAGGAACCAATCGACTAAAATATAATAAATACTGTAGTCAGTTCAGGACCAAGTTCCACTAGTCAAACTGACCCACGATACCTGAGCTTTCATTATACATTCTCATCCGGGCATAATGCATCGGGATGGCTTCGAACAGTTTTAGTGGTGCTATGCATGTATGATTTTAAAGTTTTGAAGATTGCAGATTAAACATATGGGAAAAGGAAAAAGTACTAGAGTGGAAACAAGGCTTGTGGAAAAACTAGCTTTAAAGATCAGTGTAGTAGCTGTTATGTATCAAAACCTCTTGAAATGTGCTACTGTGATTAAACCGTCTGTGAATTTCGACATTTTATTTTCCTTTAAGAACATTTTACTAAGATATAAAGTTAATTTCATTTTTTTAATGGCCGGTCATTGATATATGGTAGCGCAGGCGCAAGGGGCTTTGGCGACGCCTGTGGCTCGCCAACCGTGGAGGTAATGGCTGCAAAATGGTTTGGCAGCAATACTGAGACACAGTAGTATAAAGTAAAGATTATTCATAATTTTGCTTTTTCTTTTAACATGATATAGTAAAAGCCAATCATAAATCAGTTGGATTTTATACATAAAAAAAATAAAAATATATAACTCGACCACTTCGACTGCATCACCCTACCTGAGGGTGGGGAAAATATTAAAGGGTGACATGCCAGTGGCGACCCTTAAAATACTCATGTCGAGCTTGTAAAACCCTAACAATACATGTGTACCTAGCAAACCTCTCCCTGGTGGGGCGGTACCCTAACAAGCCCACACTTTGGCCGTAAAACCTCCGTCCCTACTATCAATACATTCACCCGATATAGCCTAGTTGATAGTTTTGTTCGCTTGGCTACAAAAACCTCCACAGGAAAGAGTGATGTGGAACCACTCGAAGTCGTTACCGCCCGATCCCAAATCATTCAGGGGGCATCTGCAAAATTGATATGACTCTTAAGCTCTGGACACATGAATGAAGATTAAAAGGGTTAGTCTCAAAGCCAAAATGCATAATAATACCGTAAATTAAGTTCAATATCCAAACTAAAATTATGTACAAAGAACCTATAATCCATTAATGATTAGAAAGCTTATATGTTTAAGTAAAAAAAAAATGCTCCCTAACAACGTAGTTTTGCATGTATTAATCCACATCCTGCTCAGATCTGAGGAGACAACAAAACCCGTCGCGAGAAGACGTTGACTGGATCCGTCAGCGTGGCATTATTCATTGGAGAGCTACAGGACTCCCCTCATGCATATTGGGGATCGTCCCGAAGGCACTTTGGAGGTTCGCATTGCAGACTGTTCAGGATACTCCTGGAAGGGTCCCAACTTTGTCCCGCACATAGGAAGGCCTTCACTGATTTTTTATGGACATCACCCGGTCAGCAAGAGTTTTGCCAACCAGGAAAATGGTTTCCAGGCTCTTGAAGGGCCCACCCATAAAAAGGGACGAAGGACGTTATGCTGATGGGGTTGGAAAAGTGATGTAACTCACTTCATGACGCCAAGGAATGCCACGTTCTGTCTCATCCATCCTGTGCAGTTTGGGAAGTCCTCAAGTGCAGGCTGCGTGCTTCCTTCAAACGCCTGTTAAATTCAGCAAACGTTCGTCAGCAATCTGCTTCCTGGTATTTAATTTAGTAAGAGCGTGTAAGCATTTAAGGGTGCATTCATAATGCTACAGGTATGACCATATCGAGGGTAATCTTGCACATCAATAACAGTAATCCCAATGATATTAGGATACCACTCACCGGAGCAAGCGTTGGGCCAATTTTTCACAATCTGGTTTGACCTTCCCATTATCCTTCTGCTTTGCGTATGATAAGTACATTGAACTTGGTCTTGGTATGTACTATTCGCATATCAAAATTTACTTCCATTATCGATTGGATCACCCGTGGAGAAACCGTAGCACCAAATTAGTTTCTCTATAAATACCTTACCCACCACCCACCTCAGATGCATATAAACCACCCACACAGAGACCATCCCATGTGGGTTCCAAACCACGCCGCGACGGGAACAAAGATTACATTATGGGTGACCTAGAATACCTTCAGAACGACCCCAGAGTCTCACAGCAAGATACTAGCGCCTGGCCTCCTGGGGACTAACCGTCCATGTTGTGCTCAAGCAACATCCCGGTTCATGTATCCTGTTTATTTTTGTGCATTAACTCATCAATAAATAGTCAAGCCGTATTAATCTAACACTGCTCCACCAGTCCCAAAGCAGTCTCTACAAAGAGATCATGCACCAAACATAATACCTTCCATGAACTGAGCTAGGATAAACTCAACCCCTGATACAGACATCTTCAAAACTCTACATAAAAATCAGAATGCCTTGGCCTCTTACCAGCCTCAAGCGAGCAAGAGTACGGTGAAATTTTGACGAGCTACAGGTTCCACGAAACTTGCATGAACTTTCCGTCGCAAATTAGAAATAACGAAGTTATTGAACACTCAGTATTTAAAAAAAAATCGCCATCCGATATCCTTTCATACTTTTTGTAAACAAAACAATGATGCCGTTTTATTTTGTTTAATTTATTGTAATACTTTCATTTCGTAATTAGATAAATTATTAAATGTATTAATATTTCAAAAGCCAACTACCGTAGATTGGAGGGTTTTTGTTCTGAAGTAACCGAATATTGGTTCACAGTCACATTCAATTGGAGGTGCCGGTGTAATAGTTGAGATCGACGAAAATATAATAGGGCGAACAGTTGGAGCCAGGTGTGGGTCTTTGGGGGTAATGAACGTGCGACTAAAAAGAAATTCATTGTGCCATTGGTTGGCACTGATCGCAGTGCAGACACGCTTATATCCCTTATTAAGAAATATATAAAACTAGACCGCGTGATATATAGCGATGGATGGCCTGCCTACCGTGACCTACAACACCATGGTTACAAACAATCCTTCCAAGTATTAATAATTCTGAGAACACCAATATTGACAGTTGTGAGGGACCTGAAACAATGGGTCAAGCGGCCAGGTATTAGGACCGCTTACATCAGGCAATACCTGGCCCGCTATTTACTTACAAAGACATGAAAATCACTGATCTAAGCGGCAGAATTATACCCACCACAAGGCAGGAAAGAAAGAACCTCATTCACCTGCCCCAGTTCCTCTCGGTGATAGTTCTTCAGAGAGCGATTAAAATCAGGTAGAGTTCAAATTACCTGATTGTGTGTATTCATATGCCCCCCCCCCCCCTCCAGAAAAAAATATACAAACCAAATACCATTTTTCTTCTCTGAAATACGATGATAAATTATTAACTTACGGAGTTAATGTCCGGCACTAAAACAAAGACAACATGTATAACGACCAATTATTAATAACTTTAGCGATTATACGGTGTTTTACAAACTGAGAAATTCGCCAATGAAAACTTCAGACAATGACGTCAGAGTTTGCGGAACATCAAAATTTTTTGTACAAATCACAAATACGCCTATCACGGGATATATACTACCGCTGAGGAAGGAACCGTATGTGGTGAACGGAGACGGGACGCTATAAGGGTAGTCAATTTAAGTTAACGTTTAACGAAGAACCGGCGAAATTTACATACTTATTGCACGGTTGATGTGATTTTACACGAGAGCGACGCCCCTCTCAGAGGACTAAGTTCCAAATTAGATTTTAAAAAGTTTTCCGGTTAATGTTATCGAGAAGCGACGCACGGAGATAGAGCCGAGAAGTTTCGAATCCACCTGGTTCCCATCCTCAGGTCTGTCTGAGGATGGAATCCCAGGTGGAATTCCGAAACGTCGATGCTCACTTTCATTTTCAATAAATCTAGTTTTTACATTGTGGGTTTTTTGTTACCATATATGTAATATGTGTGTGGGGAGGGTCGGGGGGGGGGGGGGGGGGGGGGGGGGGGGGTGGGGGGGGGGGGGGGGGGGAGGGAAGAGGAGGAGAGAAAGGAGAGCGATGAGAGCGAGATGAGAGAGGCAGAGACACAGGACACACAAACTAAAACATAAACAAACACAAAACAAACCACAGAGTAGAGAGAGAGAGAAGACGAGAGAGAGAGAGAGAAGCGAGACAGAGAGAGGAGGAGAGGGGGGAAGTGAGAGGGGAGGGAGAGAGAGGAGGAGAGAGAGAAGAGAGGGAGAGAGAGGGGGGGAGAGAGAGAGAGAGACAGGGACAGAGGGGCAGAGATACACGGGACAGAGAAGCGCGCGCGCGCGCGCGCGCGCGGCGCGCGCGCGCGCGCGCGCGCGCGCGCGCGCGCGCGCGCGAGCGCGGGCGGCGCGCGCGCGGCGCGCGCGGCGCGCGCGCGGCGCGCGCGCGCCGCGCGCTCGCGGCGCGCTGCGCGCGCGGGCGCGCGGTAGCGAGCGGTCGCGCGCGCGCTCGCGGCGCGCGCGCGCGCGCTGGAGAGGAGAGAGAGGAAGGGAGAGAGAGAGAGAGATAAGAGAGAGAGAGAGAGAGAGGAGAGAGACACAGAGAGGGAGAGAGAGAGAGAGAGACAGAGAGAGAGAGAGAAAGATGAGAGAGATGAGAGGGAAGCGGAGCGAGCGAAGCGAGGAGAGAGAGAGAGAAGAGGCGCGCGCGCGCGCAGAGAGAGAGAGAGAGAGGGATGAGGAGAGAGAACGAGAGAGAGAGAGAAGAGAGAGGAGAGAGAGCGAGCGATAGAGACGGAGAGAGACAGAGAGACCTACGTAAGAGAACGCGCGGGGCTCGAGCGGAGCGCTCAGAGAGAGTATGAGAGAGAGAGAGAGAGATAGAGAGAGAGGATATATATAGGATATATATTTATATCTACTAGATATGCCATGACATAATACTATATATGCCTATAGTACACATGACAGACATAGAGATTAGAGAGAGAGAGAGGGAGAGAGAGAGAGAGAGAGAGAGAGAGAGAGAGAGTCGAGACGGCGGGAGAATCTATAAACGTTACCATATAAACTCTCTCTTTCTCTCTATCATCTCTACTCTCTCTCTCTCTACGTCTCTCTCCTCTCTCATCATTATATATATATATATATATAGATCGATATATATTATATATATATATTATATATATATATATATATAAATCTTATATATTAGATATGTGTGTGTGTGTATACCATATATATATATATGTTGTGTGTGTGTATACATATATATATATGTGGGTGTGTGTGTATACATATATAGATCATATGTGTGGTGGGTGGGTATACATATATATATGGGTGTGTGTGTGTGTTGTGTGTGTGTTGTGTGTGTGGTGTGTATGTGTGTGTTTTTTAATATAATATATAGCATATACACAC